CTCCTCCTCCTCCTCCTCCTCCTCCTCCTCCTCCTCCTTCTTCTTCTTCTTCTTCTTCTTCTTCTTCTTCTTCTTCTTCTTAGCAGGAGTTCTCCCAGCCACTTGCTCTCTTTTCGGCAATGATTGTGAAGCGGATGCCAAAGAATGCTGTGCGGTGGCACCCAGACATTCGTGCTGGTGTACCAGTGCAGTAGCCACACTCGTGCACTAGTTGTTGTGCTATTCCCAAGAACATGCTACTTGTGTAGATAGCTGTTGTACTATTATCAAGAACATAGTACATTGCACAGATAGCTGTGCTGCTATTCCCAAGAACATAGTACTTGCATAAATAGCTGTGCTACTCTACTTGTATGATGAATGGGTATTTGCATAGATAGCTGTGCGACTCTGCCTGTATTATGAATAGGTACAGTACACAGTGCTTCGATATTTTAGATATCTGTGATGCCATGATGCGTAGAATGTCACGACTGCGAATTGAAGAAAGTACGACAGCACGACGATTGCATATAACTGCTATTGCATTGCTATAGCCTTTATAGCACAACGGACGGATTGCATAACCGCTACAGTAAAACTGATTGCATAAATGCTATAGTACAGTTGATTGTATAACTGCTATAGTACAGTTGGCTGATTGCATAACTGCTATAGTACAGTTGGCTGATTGCATAGCTGCTATAGTAGTATAATAGCACACTAATTGCAGAACTGCTATAGTATGGTAATTGCATTACTGTTATGGGATTGCAACACTGTCAAACGAAATGCATGTATGTGTGTGCAAAAATTATCATTCAGATTTGTTAATCAAATACATATGATCATACATAAGACGAGAACGACGACGACGATGACGACGACGGAGACGAAGACGACGACGGAGAAGAAGAAGAAGAAGAAGAAGAAGAAGAAGAAGAAGAAGAAGAAGAAGAAGAAGAAGAAGAAGAAGATATGGTTATACGGTTGGGAGGTTGATATTTGGGGAGGGGGTAGCCTGACTACCCCATACCCGAGGTTCTTTGTCATTCTCACAGAGCGAGAGACGCACCTTACCCAACTTTTGACTTGGCTTTTCCCTGTTTGGTGGCGGTGTGTTGGTGATTGATTGGTTTTCAATTCGTTAGTTCTTGTTTCGCTCTACGAGGAGCCGGAGAAGCCTCCCATCGCTGTAGAGTAAGTTGCTGCATTTCCTATGCCCATTGCCCACCCAACTGTTTCAGCAGGTCTCACATTATGAATATATATTATATATTATATAATCTATAATATTGTAGTTGTAAATTTGTATTTGTATTTTCATCTATGGTCATAGAGAACTGGCCGGACTGTAGGCATACTAGAGGGAGAAGAGAACAACAAACAAGGGGCTGTGACAGTGTTTTTTTTGCTGGAGTTTCACTGACTCACTCGTCAGGAGGCTGAACCCTCTGCCGTCTGCCGAGTCCCCTTACAGATGACACTGGTCCGTGATAATCCACCTTAACCCCCCCCCCCTCTCCCAACCAACCAACCAACCACAGTCATGCCTCTATCTTTTTTTTTTTTTTTTTTTCTCTCTCTCTCTCTGCGAGGCTATGCCCGCTTAGCCCTACGGGCCTTATTTACAACAAGGTCGGCCGCCCTAAGTGAAGGCAGGCACGACAGGCCCTCAGGGCCTCACTTTCAGGGTACCCCCGCAAATGGGGGAATTCAGGCAGTTGCACAGCATCAGTTGGTTGAATGAACTCAGGCCCTGGGCCGCCCATGTGAATGAATGTAAAGCAGGCCCTGGGCTGGGTACGGGTACCGGGCCAAGCACAGGCCGAAAACAGTTGGGCACAAGTAACTACTTCAGGCCCACTGCCT